GGCATGGAAGACTGGCTTTTATGGAACTTGCCATGTCGATGCTGTGATTCCTTGCAATTTGAAGCAAAAATCATCAGACTTCAGTGCTTCATTGACCTTAACCTGGGCTACCCCTTAGCAGTCCTCCGTCCTTTCAGCCTCTAAACTGGTGACTTACAGGAGGGCTCTGTACATCAACATCATCATCACAGGGGCTGCCATATGCTGACCAATTGCCCTGTGGAGGGGCTTCTAATGTTACTTCCTATAGACCTCACAGCAACCTAATGAGGTGGTTATGCTAACCCCAATTTACAGAATAGAAAACTGAGGGCAGAGAGTAAAATGACTCTGGAGGCCTTGTAACTGGAAAGTGGTGAGCCTGGGATTTGAACACCTGCCTAACTCCAAGGCCTCCATGTTTTCCACCCCTCCACCTGCAAGGAAAGAGAAAGAGAGGAGGTGCTGTCATTTGAGGTCCAGAAAATTCAGCATGCCAATGAAAATGGGTGAGGCCTCTTTCCCATGATGCTTCCTGAGGGAAGATCAATGGCTTTCAGAAAGACCCAGCAAGATTCATGGCTGGTAAGAGATCTGTGTTGACAGGAGAATTGGTCCTCGGGGATCTGCTCCATTTTCCAGCATCTCAGAACTCTTCTCCTGACTCCCTCAACCTGCAGGCTTTAGTCTGCTCTCAGCTTCCTCTCTCATGCATGGAGAAAGTGCTTTCTCTCCAGGGATGAGGCCAGTCTCTTTGACTTTATGCCTTAACCCCTTGGCTGCCCTATTTGCACATTCTCATCCATTCTGGATGCATAACTGGACTAGTGTTTCTCTAAGTGTATATTGATAGGGGTTAAGATAGAAAGGTTTTGTTGGGGAAACTCTAATTAAATAAAAGTAAATTATTTTTTTTCTATGTGACTTCTCAGGGCTTTTAAAGTGTGAATGTGCTTTGTTAAAACCCCAAGAGAAAGCTATAGAATTTTCATTTTCCAAATTTATTTGGCCAAAGAACTTTTTTTTTTTTTTAAATCAAGGCTATCTTGGGGGATAGAATTCTGCCCTAGATAAGCCCTGGGAGAGAATCCAGTATGAGATAAGGACTTAGGGGTGAGTTGAAGAGTATTATAGTCAAGTCTGTAGAGAAGACCAGAATTAGAATGAATTATGATTGCTAATGACTAAGACTTAGTAACACAAAGATTTACCCATACTTAGATTTTTTTCTTCTTTATCAAACTTTAGCTATAAAGGGAGCTAGCTCTATAAGGTAATATATTTTTACTGTTCATTTGTTAAATAAAGTTATTTCAGTAGTGATATCTTTATTTTATTTTTTAAAAGTTTTTATTTTAATTCCAGTTGGTTAATATGCAGTGTAATATTAGATTCTGGTGTACAATATAGTGATTCAACACTTATATACAACACCCAGTGTTCATCACAACAAGTGTTCTCCTTCATCCCCATCACCTATTTCAAAAAATGTGTATCTTAATGAAAGAAGACGTTACTCGAATGATGCTTCATACACTGTGTAGTGTCCAATGTAAGTTTTTATTTTAACATGGTAGAAAGTAGAACATGATGATAATTCTTAGTCCAGGGGCAGCATATCCAGAATGACTGTTTATTTCTTTTTTTTGGAGGACAAATTAATGATAATCTTGAAAATTGGATCTGTGAATCCACATGTACAAAGGGCATGTAACTATCACCCCTTCATCCTCAGCTCCCAGGTGGCGAAGGATGTCTGTTCCCTTTGACCTAGAGGTGGTGACTGCTATCTCATGATTTGTTCCTCCACTCCCAATTATATGATGGGCAACTCTCAGGCATTCTCTTCTCACTGCAGTTGAACACCAGGGAACAATTTGGCTAGAAGGAATAACTCTGCTTGGTGACAATTCCCCCTAGGAAATAAGGGTCCTGAGCACTCAGCCTCTTGGCAACCTCTACACAGAAGGTTCTGGCAGGTGAGGGATTAGAAGAACTCATACTGTTGGCAGCAGGCAGCCCATTTAGACGCCACTGCTCTAAAAGATCCTGCAGTGAATAAGAGAAATATTGCCGAGGATGCTAACTCTGGCTGTTTCCAGCAGCTTCAGTCAATTGCTGAGAAAACAATCTCAACCGGCTAAATAAGGTGATGCTTTGGCAGGCTCAGGAGATGTGGATTAGGCAACCCAACCCAAACCTGTGCTTTTGTGACCTGCCCATTGCCTCTCTCTATCCCTCTTCTCCAGCATATGCCAGGGTGGCAGAGATGAGCCACACTTAGGAGACTGCCACCCACTGCCTCAGCACTGGAGCCAAGGGAGGGGAAGGGAATCAGAGACACTGATGCCTGTTCTTGTTTGCTTTGGGCTCTCACCCGGGGCTTCAGGTGAGCCTGGCTCAGCTTTCTTCCCAGGGAGGCATTTGATCTACTGCTTTTAAGGGGATTCCAAAGAATGTGAATAAAGACCTCACCAAGAGGGACTGACATTCAATTGATGGGGGAAGTAAATGTCTCAAAGAAGAACCCAACACAGATTCCCTTCATGGATTGTTTATGGATAGATAATGTTGATTTAAAAATCCAAACATTTGTTTCTGGACCCTATTTAAATCTCAAAACAATCCTGCAAGTGGGGTAGAATGCTCATTTTACAAATAAGGAAAGAAAGGCTCAAAGAAGTCAAGTACCTTGTCCAAGGTCACTAATTAGTGCAAGGGAGACAAGGGAATTGAATGAACCAGGTCTTCTGAAGTTCACGATGACAGGCTTTCTGTTAGACCACAATTACCTTACTCTTGTGTGGCATTTTATAATTTTCAAGGGACTTTCACTTATGTTATATCCTGTGTAACTCACTACAAACCACTGAGGCAGGAAAGGATTTGACATATTAGAGCACAGACTTAGTGTGTTTAATCACAGCCCAAGGTCACCAACCCAAATCCCTCCCAGCAGAGGTCTTGCTCTCTACTATCCTGACTTGGGTTTCTTACTCTTCACCCTCAGTCAGCTTTCTTTTGTTACCATCCTTTGGTGGGTTGCTCAGGGTGCAAAGTTGTTTTGAGAACAGCCAAGGCTAAACTTATTTCCTTCCCATGTCCCCAGATAGAGTACTAACAATAGCTCAGTGTACAGTCTCTTAGTAGGTGTCAAAAATCACACTACACATTGTATATTTATTTAACTTACTGCTCACAACAGCCCATGAAGTACCTGCTATTATAGTTGAGGAAACCAAGGCACATAAAAGTTAAATAACTTGTCCAAAGGTCAAAGAGCTAGTGAGTAGTGGAGCTGGGATTCTAACCAGGCAGACTGACTCTAGACAAACTTGCAGATCAGAAAATTAAGAATTAGCTGCAGAGCAGTTAAAATTGCTTGACTTCAGGATCTTCTGAAGATCCTGCCCTAGATGCCTTGTCTGGAAACCACCCCATAAAGGCAGAGTGCTCACTGCTGACTTGATTGAAAATCTGGAGATATACCAACCACCTATTTCTTGGGGAGTCTAGAATCACCTCCTCTTGCTCTGTCATATTTTGTAGAGTCCTGAATGTGTATAATAACCTGAGAACATATTCTTGCCATGTGTGGTGTGGTTGGGTGTGGAGGTGGGTTGGCATGGGGATGGGGGATAGTTGAGCTGTCAGAAGTTAGAACAGTATTGTATCAGTGTACCCACTCTACCACCAAGTGTCCTCCATCCTCCTTCCCCCTAAATCCCTGGGCCCTGATGAAATACCCATAGTCTAGACAAGGGCTTCCCAAACTTTCCTGATCATAAGGATTACCTGAAGGGCTTGTTAAAAATATAGACACTCAAGCCCCTCCTCTGAAGATTTTCATTCCATAAGACTGGGGTGAGACCTGGGTCTAGATATTTACATTCTTAGACACTGGTTATGGGTCAGTTAACACATGTCAGTGCTTACCCTATGCAAGAAGTGGGCAATTCAGAATGAGTAGGACTCAATCCTTTCCCTTGATGAGCTCAGGGGCCTACAGGGGTACTGACAAATAAACATACAAGTTTACTTTAAGACATAGTGGGAAAAGTACAGGGTGTGGTGGGAAAACAAGGCGGGGTATCTAACCCAGATCAAGTGGTGGAGGGGTTGTCAGATCCTAAGGCCATCAGATGACACAGCACACACTCTTATCCTGAGATGAATGGGATCTTTCGGCTTACTCCACCAGCCAACTGGAGGGTCCCTACATTTGGTGCTCTCTTGCTTCTGGATCCAGAAATCACCTACTGTGGGTCAAGGATGGAGACTCTTTCCTGTATATGTCCCTTTCAACTTCCCAAGCCTCATACTTGTTTGCTTCATATATGACCCTCACTTTTCCCCAGGTCAGACATTTTATCTCGTTTTGTTTCCCATGAACAGCACTGCTCAGCTCAAATGACAGGCTGGCTCGAATGGATGCCCTTGGCTGAGGTGGTGTCAGAGTGGACCTCTGCCTCCCCATTCCCCCACCCCAAGCCCTCCTCTGTACATTTCTCTGTAGAGGTGGGCACAGATGATATGTCTCTGGGTTGTGGTACTCTGGCATTGCAGGGAGGGATCCAGCTCACATGGAAGAAGTTGTCTGGTTCTTACCCCTGTGTCATGGGGCTCCGTGGCTCCTAATCTGCTGGTGTCAAAACCCAATTCATGCTGCTGGATCAGATGCTGTCTGAGTTCCCAAAGCCCCCTGAGGAAATCACAGGGAAGAAGGGAGGAGAGCTCCAGTCTTTTGTCAACTGTGGCAAGTTTGGGTGATTAAGCTAAAAAAGCAAAGTCATTTTGGTCCAAAGGATTAGTTTTGAGGTGTGATGCAAGTCTAGAAGTAACTTATTGCCTGGGAGGCAAACCAAACCCAAGATGACTCTCAGCTAATTGCTTGCCTTTCCTTATGCCAAGCCTAGCTCCTTGGTATATAAAGGCCAGCCTCCTCTTTGTCCCCATCCTCTGCCTTCACCCCTCTCAGCTCTTGCTAAGTGATTGCTAGCTGACCTCCAAGCTCTCTCACCATGAACAGACAAGTCTGCAAGACAGCTGGTGGCGGCAGCCAGGGCTTCTCCGGACGCTCCGCTGTGGTCTCCAGCAGCAGCCGGATGAGCTGTGTGGCCCGCTCCGGGGGAGCCGGCGGAGGGGCCTGTGGGTTCCGGGGTGGAGCGGGCGGCTTTGGCAGTCGCAGCCTCTACAGCCTGGGTGGCAACAAGAGCATCTCCATCAGCGTGGCTGGTGGCTCCCGGGCTGGTGGCTTTGGGGGAGGGCGTGGCAGCTGTGGCAGTGGCTTTGGGGGTGGCTATGGAGGTGGCTTTGGTGGTGGCAGAGGAATGGGAGGTGGCTTTGGAGGAGCTGGTGGCTTTGGAGGAGCTGGTGGCTTTGGAGGGGCTGGGGGCTTTGGTGGAGCTGGTGGCTTTGGAGGGGCTGGGGGCTTTGGTGGAGCTGGTGGCTTTGGTGGAGCTGGTGGCTTTGGAGGGGCTGGTGGCTTTGGTCCTGGTGGTTTCCCCGGGGGAATCCAGGAAGTGACTGTCAACCAGAGCCTCCTGCAGCCCCTCAGTGTGGAGATCGACCCCCAGATTGGGCAAGTAAAGACCGAGGAGCAGGAGCAGATCAAGACCCTCAACAACAAGTTTGCCTCCTTCATCGACAAGGTGAGGGCAAAGCTCAGAGGTGCCTTGGAGGGTTTTGGCTGCCCAGGGTGTTGGCATATGATGATGCCAGTGGGATCTGCCAGGCTTATAGGCAGGGGTATTGGCTTCTTGTCCTGGTTCTGCCTTGGTTCTGCCTTCAGGATAGCAGGCATGCCTCTTTTGCTCTTAAGGTCCTATTTTTCCCAGCCGTGAAACAGGGAAAGGATTCTAGCTCTTGATTTCCTTCTAGGGATAGGACTAGGGCAAATGAAGTGAGGGTCCAAACATGCTCGTTCTCCTTTGAAGAACAGGGCATTAGCCATGAAATTATTATAGCTAACATTCAATTTCTCTTGAAAAACAACTTCTTGATAATCTAAACTAGCTGGTAATCAAACTTGCATTAGTAAGAATCTTGGGACTGCCTCTCAGTGATGAGTGTCGGCAACTGATTTACCTTCTGAATGGTGCTGTGTTTTAGCCAATATTAATTTGAGCTGTCTATCCTGGGGCAGGGAAGGGTGTGCTGGGTCTGGGGGAATGAGCCTGGGATATGAAGTTAAACCCAGGTGAGCTATAAGCTGAGTAACTGAAAGGGGAAACAACTAGGGAAAATGTGAAACAACCTAGGAAAATATAGACCCTGTTGACTGTTTTCACCGCCTGTAGGAAGGTAAAGGTAAAATTTCCACTTAAAAAATAATTATAAATAACTTTATTTATGCTGATCTCCTGTACTTGTGTTCTGAAGGATCCGCATAGACTAGGACAGTGATGGCTGTGATAATAACACCTCCTTAATAGGTGATTGTGAGGATTAAATGAGATAGAATAAGTGAAAATAGTAGGTATAAACAACACATTATAGCTCTCCCTTGTCTAAATTCTCATTCTTCTCAGTTAAAACAAACAAACAAACAAACAACCCAGAGGCTATTGCAGATTGGAGAACTGGGTTCATTTCCACATTTCCACTCTTTGGGATGTGTGGCCCCACTTGCCCAACTCAAGAGGCTGATTCCTTTTCTTTTTTACCTGATACAGGTGCGGTTCCTGGAACAGCAGAACAAAGTCCTGGAGACCAAGTGGGAGCTGCTCCAGCAGCAGACCACAGGATCTGGCTCAGGACCCAACAACTTGGAGCCTTTCTTTGAATCCTACATTAGCTTCCTGCGCAGGCAGTTGGATTTGGCTCTGGGGGAGAGAAGGAACCTGGAAGGAGAGCTGAAGAGCATGCAGGACCTTGTGGAAGACTTCAAAAAGAAGTGAGGGCCTCAACTGGGGAGTTTCCTCTTCTGGGGGATTAGCAGGGAGGTGTAGCCCCAACTTGAGATTTTAACTGTTCCAGACTGTACCTTCAGTCAATACTCTTGGATGGACTTGTTGAGTGAGGCATGATCAAGCGGAAGGGGGTGAGAGGGTGGGGATTGAGACTTCAAGGTGGCTGATTATGACAGATTTCTCAGGCTACCGGGATCCCCTCCTATACTAGCTTAGGTGGATGAGAGAATCTACCCAGAGTTAAAAGCCCTTTGGGATGGAGAGCCTGCCCTCCACACTTACTATACATAGGAATCACTTTGGAAGCTTGTCAGAAATACATATTCCTGTGCTCTGGTCCTGGATATTCTGTATTTGTAGGTGTGGGGCAGGTCCCAGGGATCTGAGTGCCCCATAGTTGCCAGGAGTTCCTGGCAGATGGTCTAGGGCCACACTTTGTAAAGCACTCTTTCAATGTACCCAATACCCTGTCTCTGGAGCATCAATCTGCCTTCTTCTGCATGTTTGGGGTTGTAGTTGATACACTCTGAGGTCTGTGAGAGGCAAATTGGGCCTCTCAAAGTGCGGAGGGAGCTCCAGATATCCCCAGGGTCAGAACACGCAGGGGTGGGCACACCTGCTCTGGGGAGGCCCCATTCTGGTCCAACTGCATAAACCTGGTGGGCACCCAGGCTCTGTGCTGAGCTCAGAGAGGCAACTCAGATTGACATTGCTCAGAAACCTCTTCTCCTGGAACCATTCCATTTTTCAGTCTTCATGAGATCTAGACCCTTGGTGGGAGATTATAGTCATTATAAGATTATAGTCATTAATAAGCAGGAATCTCATAACCTTGATGCATTCAGAAGACATGAGTTTCTTCTTAACCCAAATTCCTAAGCAACTCTAATTAATGGAAAGAGAAACAGAACAGCGGCAGAAAACCCGGTCTGAGCAAATACCTCTCTGGGTCTCATATACACATGCTGCACTTTGTGATGTCTATCAGAGCCAGGCAAGTAGTCAGGCTCCTTGAAGTCTTCTCCCACCTTGCCTACCCATACTTCAGCCTGTCACCCGGACATGGGGAGAGAAGAGTGAGGCAGTGGCCTGAGCTCTGAAAGACCTCTAAGCCAGACTGGCTACATAATTCTGGCAGCTCAGTGCAAAATGAAAATGCAGGGCCCTTGTTAAAAAATTATTAAGAATTTTAAGATGGCACCAGCAGAGCATTAGACTGAATGAATGTGAGGACCTTCTCTACCCAGGGCCCTGTGTAACTGCATGGGTCACATGCCCATGAAGCTGGTCCTGTCTCTGGGTGAGGGGATTCTGCATGAGTGCTTGGGAATTCTCATTTTTTTTTTTTAACTTCTGAAATGTCACTGTCCAAATGTGTGCTTCTTTCTGTCCCAGGTATGAAGATGAGATTAACAAGCGCAATGCAGCTGAGAATGAGTTTGTGGGGCTCAAGAAGGTAAGAGAGCTGGGAAGGTTCTATTTCTGGGCACTAACCCCATGGAGTCAGCTGCTCTGGGGCATAGGGACTCTATGCTCTGTGTGGGGTTTACATTTCTCCCTACATTTTTGGAAATGAAGGAAGCTGCTCTAAATACATTATTGGTGAGGAAGACATCTTACAATGTTACTATGATTAATGAATTGATTAGTAATGTGAACTAATAATGAAGGTTTTATGTGTAGCATTGATCAAGGTTTTCAGCCTACAAGTGTACCCTGGATGTTATTAATAATAACAATCATCCAATACTTGCAGCTTACTTAACCAGTTATCATAAAGATGAGGTAGTGAGAAGAATATCCTCATTTCTATTCAGAAGGTTGGTTATATAGTACCCAAACCCCAAAGTCACATGTTAGATAAATGTGATTTTTTTAACCCTTACTCCAATGCCTGGCTAATATGGTTTATATTTTGTTAAAGGATTGGGGTTTAATTGGTCAAGGCAACTAAAGGGAAGAAAATCACTTTGATTTTCTTTTAGAAGGGAAAGTGAGGAGTGAAAATTAGGAGGAGGACAGGGGAAGGACAAAGAGGAGAGATGAAGGCTTAGGAAAGAGCTGTGGGTGGTTGGGGTACAGTGGGTCATTCTTTTGGGTTTCTAATTTCCTGCCTTTGCACCCTGTAGGACGTGGATGCAGCATACATGGACAAGGTGGAGCTGCAGGCCAAGGTGGACAGCCTGACAGATGAACTGAATTTCTTGAGGACCCTCTATGAGATGGTGATTCCTTGATTCCTTGGTTTGCCAAGCTCCAGAGCCTTCTTGTCTGCATGCTTCCCAAGTAGGACTTTAGGGGATAGTCAAGTGGAAGAACACTCCCCACACCAGCTATGCCCCACCTAGGAAATGCTAACTTAGCTCTCCCAGGCTGTATCCCTGGGCCATAGGGCCAGGGTACCTTTCTGTCTTCTTTGTTTTCCCCTCTGTCCTCATCCATTTTGTCCTACACCTTCCCTCTGGCTCCTATACCAGTATCGTGGCTAGCTCCTTCACAGTACTCCTCCCTACTGTAGTCCCACGGAAACCCACACAGTCGGGCTCACTGGCTGATACTCTCAGGCTGACAACCTGATTATATTTGCCCATTTATTTTTTCCTTTAACTTTCGGCTATAGCCTATAGCAGGTGAGGTGCTGTGGGGTCAGCATTCTCCAGATAGGATCCTTTAGGCTATAGCCAGGCCTGAAATGCAAGCTTATTTTTCTAACTGTCCCATTCCTGGCCCCATTATTGGGATATCTCCGCTGGCAGAAGATTCTTAGACTTCTTCATTCCCAGCATCTTCTGGGGCCAAGGGGTGGTCATGAAAATGAACATCCATGTTCCCCATAGGAGCTGTCTCAGATGCAGAGTCATGTCAGTGATATGTCTGTGGTCCTATCCATGGACAACAACCGCTACCTGGACCTGGACAGCATCATTGCCGAGGTCAAGGCCCAGTATGAGGACATCACCCAGAGGAGCAAGGCAGAAGCTGAGGCATTGTACCAGACCAAGGTGGGAGCCTTCTCCTTGCCCCCATACTCTAGGTTTAGGTCTTGCTGACCAAGAATGTTCTAACACTGCAAAACCATGTTGATTGGTTTCTCCTCTGTCAGCTTGGGGAACTGCAGACCACTGCTGGCAGGCATGGGGATGACCTGAAGAACACTAAGAATGAGATCATGGAGCTCAACAGGGTGATCCAGAGGCTGCGAGCCGAGATTGAGAATGTTAAGAAGCAGGTGGGTCTGGACCTAATGGAGAGATCCTAGGGGTCTTCTGGGCCCTGGAGAGAAAGAGAAGCAACAACTGTGCCTCTGCCACATGCTTTCTCTGTCCTTTCATGGTGTCACATGTGGGATAGCTGGGAGAGTCCATTCTCCAGAAATTCCTTCTCAGATCTGAGCTTCTTGGAAAGCTCCCTAAGGAGAGATGGTTGCTTATTCTGGCTTTCCCAGCAAATCTTGCAACTGTAGGGAGGGCCTTAAACACTCAGTTTCAGTAGGATCTGCCTTCAGTGAACTATTTATCATGCACTTCACATAACCGCAATGGCTAATTTGTATCACTGGAATAAAGTGATTAATTAGGCAAGGGAGTTTTTAAAGTCTTGCAAAAAAGAACCAGTTACTAGACCACTACTACCTTTACCAGCAAATCAGCGTTCCTTTTCTTGATGAGACATGAGTTAATTTCAATGGGCCAAAGATAAATTGACCAATTGTAAAATGGACTTCTATTTTCTGGGTATGTACCATTGCCATTTCTAAGGTAGGGGGTGGAGGGATGTGGAATGGGAAGGAGAACTTTCAGGAAAGATCAGCTGTTTGTTTCTTGGTCACTATGCTAAATGGTTTCCTACCTCTCCCCGCCCTAGAATGCAAACCTGCAGGCGACCATTGCTGAAGCTGAGCAGCGTGGGGAGATGGCCCTCAAGGATGCCAATGCCAAGCTCCAAGGTTTGCAGACTGCTCTACAGAAGGCCAAGGATGACCTGGCCCGGCTGCTGAAAGAGTACCAGGAGTTGATGAGCGTGAAGCTGGCCCTGGACATGGAAATTGCCACCTATCACAAGCTGCTGGAGGGCGAGGAGTGCAGGTGAGGTGCTGTGGGGTCAGCATTCTCCAGATAGGATTTTAGAGTACCTGTGACAAAAAAGAAAGAGAGCAAGATGATTGGAGAGGACAACCCAGACAACGGGTAAGGAATCTCCTGAAGGACAGAATTTAGGATTCAAGCACCCCCATTTTTTTGTCAATCAAGATCATCCAATTCTCTGATTTACTGTGGCCAACAATGTTGTATTACATAGCTCTGTTGATCCTCCTTATGAGCAAGAGTAAGGAAAAGTGCTTTGGGGTTATAAAAAAAGCTGTAGTGCTGTCCACTGAACTTTCTGAGATGACAGAAATGTTCTACGTGCTGTCCAATACAATAGCTCTTAGCCACTTGAGTACTTGAAATGTGACTAGTGCAACTGAGGAACTGAGTTTTACACTTAATTTAATTTTAATAAATTTAGCTAGCTTCATGTGGCTAGTGGTTACCATATTGGACAGCACAGTATAGACAGTCCTGCAGCGCTCCATCTCTGAGGCTGAGTCCATAGGGAAAGTGGCTGATGCACACATACTCTGGAAAAAGAGCACAGTATCAAGTAGCAGATAAGGGTTTAGTGAGGGGATATCAAATGCCAAAGGACTGTTAGGGATTGAGAAATCTTTCTGCTGACCAGCGGCTCCATGCATCTTGCATTGAGCCTCTGTCCTCAGGCAGCTCCCAATCTGATGGAGGAAGCAGAACTCAGGTCTGAGAAGGAAACATTAGGATTTTTTATAAGTCTCTATGAAAAGGAGTGGGGATGATGATGGTGCTATGTGTACTGGGAATTGTGGGATAAAGATGGAGTGGTCGACAACAGTGGGGCCCACATTGGCAAGGTGAGCAGACATGCTCCATGTCTGTTCAGATATGTGGACATGCCTGCTCCATGAACAAGAACGAGGCATAGGAAGATGGGTTGTGTGGGCAGGACATTTTCAAACTCATCATGTGTTGAGTGTCAGCTTGTCTCACATTTTACCCATCTGAACCACCGAAGGGCTAACCAGCTGGGAGTTGGGTGTTGAGCAGTTGGCTTGGAACAGATGGAAACTGGAAACTAAAAGAAAGAGGATGGGCAGATGGAGAGATGGAGGGTGACTGGTGAAGCTCCTGAACACTTCAACTCCCCCAAAGTAACCTCTTTCCCTGGGGAGATGGGGCCATGGAGATAGACACTTGGAATAACCTTTCTTCCCCGGGGGTTACCCCTAGTAGGGCAAATACGGGGGTGTGGCTCCCAAGGTTATGGACCCTCAGCTTTGTGGCTAATGACTCATGGCTGAAATAATCCACGTTTCCTTCTCTTCCTTTTTAGGATGTCCGGAGAGTGTCAGAGCGCTGTGAGCATTTGTAAGTAGCCCTTCAAAAACTTTCTCCCTGGGTTGCAAAAAGAAACATCCTCACTGCCTGACCTACAGCAGGAGAGCTTGACCTATGCAAGGAGGCCAGGCCCCCAAACAGTGCTAGGGTCTCAGGCCATGGCCACACACTCCCCTGCTAGCATAAGCAGGGAAACTCTAAGGCCAAAGCTAAAATGCCTGTGGTCTTGGGGAGTTCCCTAGGTTGGAGAACCAGAAATTTCTGTGGATGCTGCTGGCTCTTGTTCTTGGGGGACACCAGAGGGCCAGGCTCACTCTTGTCATTTACCAGCTGAAGCCTCAGAGAAGTTGAGCATCTTTCTCAAATTTGCACAGCCAAGCAGGGTAGAGTTGTGATCCAGACCAAAGCCTTTGCCTGAATTGAGTGCCTGTTCTCCACAGCGGTGGTCAGCAATGTCACCAGGACAAGCAGCGGCTCTGGGGGAAGCCGTGGAGGGGTCGTCGGCGGTGGCAGCAGTAGCGGTGGCTACAGGGGTGGCAGTGGTGCCCACGGAGGGGTCAGCAGCAGCAGCAGCACCAGCAGCAGCTACGGGGTCAGCAGCGGCAGCAGTGGGGGCAGGCTCAGCAGCCGAGGCAGCAGCTCTGTGAATCAGAGTGGAATTGGCTCCAGCTCTGGCGGCATCCAGACCTCGGGAGGCAGCAGCTATAAGTCTGGCAGTGGAGGCAGCACCAGCATCCGCTTCTCCTAGACCACCAGCTCGAGCCAGCTCTGCTCCAAGTGATCCTCTGAGGTTAAGTGTCCATGCCCAGCTGCATCCCTCTCAGCCTGCCCACAGCACTTCCCACTCTGCTTGGCATTGACAAATGCCAACCTCAACCTTGCTTTTCTTCAAGTTCCCTGGAAAAGGGGCTGAACTTCTTGGCTCCTCCATCCCCAAGATCTCTCCTAGGCCAGGGAGGTCCAGCTGCTTATCCCAGATGATGATGCCCCTGACGATGGTAGCAATACCTGAGCCCAAAGTACTGTGGGCCTTCCCAGCCTGGCCTGTTCCCACCCTGGCCCATCTCCCTCTCTCACTGGGAGCTGATAGTCTGAAGCAGGTATGTTTCAGCCCCGCTGAGGATGCTAGAGGGTGAATGGTCAAGTTCTCCAGAATGTTGGTTCTCAGGGTGCCCTCCCCACATCTGGGCATCATATCCTGACTTACCTCTGCCTCTTTAATTCCCCCAGCTGTGGATCCTCTGGTGATGATTATGTTGCACTTTCTTTTCTCAATAAATTGCACTGAATTTCACATTCTGGTGTTTGGCTTTCATTCAAGGGGCTGTAGAATAAACTGAGGTCCAAGAATGGAGAGAAATCAGATGCGGGTGGTGGTCTTCCAGAAGTTCAGTGGTGGGTATAGAGGTTACTCAATAGTCTTGACTTCTCCTTTACCCATTTGGCTGGGTTCTTGTGGTAGGTCTGTCCAGGAGTATTTATTTATTTATTTTTTAAATTTTATTTTATTGTGTTATGTTAATCACCATACATTACATCATTTGTTTTTGATGTAGTGTTCCATGATTCATTGTTTGCGTATAACACCCAGTGCTCCATTCAGTACGTGCCCTCTTTAATACCCATCACCAGGATAACCCATCACCCCACCCCCTCCCCTCAGCTTGTTTCTCAAAGTCCATAGTCTCTCATGGTTCGTCTCCCCCTTCAATTTCCTCCCCTTCATTTTTCCCTTCCTATTATCTTCTCTCTCTCTCTCTCTCTTTTTTTTTAACATATATTATTTGTTTCAGAGGTATAGGTCTGTGATTCATCAGTCTTACACAATTCACAGCACTCACCATAGCACATACCCTCCCCAATGTCTATCACCCAGCCACCCCATCCCTCCCACCCCCCATACTCCAGCAACCCTCAGTTTGTTTCCTGAGATTAAGAATTCCTCACATCAGTGAGATCATATGATACATGTCTTTCTCTGATTGACTTATTTCGCTCAGCATAATACCCTCTAGTGCCATCCACATTGTTGCAAATGGCAAGATCTCATTCCTTTTGATGGCTGCATAATATTCCATTGTATATATATACCACACTTCTTTACCCATTCGTCTGTTGATGGACATCTGGCAGCAACTTCTTCCTAGAAACATTGCCAAAGGCAAGGGAAGCAAGGGCAAAAATGAACTATTGGGACTTCATCAAGATAAAAAGCTTTTGCACAGCAAAGGAAACAGTCAACAAAACCAGAAGACAATGGACAGAATGGGAGAAGATATTTGCAAATGACATATCAGATAAAGGGGCTAGTATCCAAAATCTATAAAGAACTTATCAAACTCAACACCCAAAGAACAAATAATCCAATCAAGAAATGGGCAGAAACATGAACAGACATTTTTCCAAAGAAGACATCCAAATGGCCAACAGACACATGAAAAAGTGCTCAACATCGCTTGGCATCAGGGAAATCCAAATCAAAACCTCAATGAGATACCGCCTCACACCAGTCAGAATGGCTAAAATTAACAAGTCAGGAAACGACAGATGTTGGCGAAGATGTGGAGAAAGGGGAACGCTCCTACACTGTTGGTGGGAATGCAAGCTGGTGCAGCCACTTTGGAAAACAGTATGGAGGTTCCTCAAAAAATTGAAAATAGAGCTACTGTATGACCCAGCAATTGCACTACTGGATATTTACCCCAAAGATACAAATGTAGTGATCCGAAGGGGTACGTGCACCCCAATGTTTATAGCAGCAATGTCCACAATAGCCAAACTATGTCCAACAGTATTTATGTTGTTTAAGTGGTTGCCCCCACTCCCAAGGAGGTCTTCCCATCCATCCTCCCTGCCTCTGAGCAGGCCTCTGGGATCCAGTCTTGGAAAAAGAAGGTTTAGCAGGTCATCAAGGGAATAGATTCTACTGGGACTGCAGCTCCTTTTCTCCCATTGTCATGCCAGCCAGACACAGCAAATTCTCTTGCTGCAAACACAGCTCCTGGAGTCTGGAGTGGTCAAGCATAACACCCTCTTTTCCCTGACCAGGTTCTGAGCCAATTAAAAAATAAGACAAAGGAATGAGCAAATGGAGAGTCAATATTGCCTTTATTACCAGCAAAGCAGATATTGGAGAATACAATTTTTACTTCTGATGGAATGGGTTTCCTAATACAGGACCTCAGGATTAGGCCAGATTTCCCACCTGGGCAGACACAATATAGGGCCATCATGTCCTTCTCTATGTGGTAAGTCCCCTCATGGGAGATAGGAGAGCAGAACATTAGCTTGCAATGAACAGTCAGATCTTAAGAGATGGAGGGGCAGAGCTATGCATGCCCAGTTCTTCCTTCCAAACTCACTCATCAGGTAAGAGAGAGAGTAGCAGAGCCACTAGTGGAATTCACTCCAGATGGATATAAAATTAGGGTTGAGGAAGATGCATACTTGCTCTTACACTGGCATTTCCAGGCTGTTCCCAAAAACCTGAAACCCAAACCCATGGAGGACAGGGACAATGAGACAGTCACTGAAGGAAGCAGGGAAACTGAGAGCTTCAGTGGAGTCTCTGTTCCTTTCCCCATGCCCCAATTCAATCCCATCTGCATGCCTTTGAGCATGGTAAAATTTGGGTTTTTAAGTCACTGTAGATTATACATTATCTCCCTACCCCCCAGAAGTCAGACCAGAGCTGGACTAATGAGAGGTCATCTGTACATTATCTGATGGGCCAAGAAGAGTGCCAGGACCTGGCCTCCATGTTCTTGAGTCAGATCTGATTTCCTACACTCATCCCATCTGATCTCTGAAATATAGCAGCCCTGGTCTCAAGCCTTGGAGGAGACTGATTTTAAAGTTCCTACACTTGAGAGTGTAATAAATCCTTACTTATCTTTTCAAGGCCTGCTAGCAGCCCCCTTCCCCATTTACTCTTGGCACAGCTCTGAGTACTATGGGAACAGGACAGGCTGCTCTTACTGGTCTTTTGGAGACATTACAAGAAGCATCACCAATCCCTAGGAAGACACCCCAGATGCTCTGCTCCTTGTGTCGCCAAACTTCCTGGGTAGAGGCTGACTGCACTGCACTAACCCAGTTCTCATCAGACTGAAGCAGCAGGGTTTGGGTATGGCAGTTCAGTCTCTTATCCATCATTCCATGTGTGGAGAATTTGCTCCTGAGTGCTGTCTCAGGGCCCTGCAAAGCGTGTGGGGCATGCAGTGAACATTTGGGGGGTCAACTGAAAGAATGAAGAGAGTAATAAGAGCAGGACCTCCTCCCCCCACCTGGAATAGGTCACACCCCAAGGCAGGATGAAGCTGAAAGTTGACAGTGAGAGCCTGGCACCTTCCTGTGAGCTCTTGCAAGAAGAGATAGTGGAGCGGGTTACAGAGGGAGGTAGTGAAAGACTACAGGGTACTTGGAATCGAGAGAGGGAATTGATCAAGGCATTTTGGAGAAGAAGCCTGGAGCAGGTCTGGGAAGGAGAGTCTGGGCAACATGGAGGAAGGGCAAGGTTATAGAGCAGATATCCAGACCAAAGTCCAGGAGAATTCTAGGACTAGGATCATGTTTCATATTCTTGACACAGGCTGGGACTAAACCACATACTAGTGGAGCAGGGAAGCTTCCAAGGTGAGGGCATCATATTTAAGGCCAGGCTAGGGGCTGGAGAGAATCGATTATCTCTAAGTGTATGGGAAGCTGGCAATCCTAAGCTTTCTGAGCCATGAAGAATCCCTCAAATCCATCTCCCATGTGAAGACAGAGCTGTGGCAGTCTTTTGCTTTTGAAGGCACCCAGGGTATGTAGAGTAGGTATTCACCTTTATGGAATGGTCAGAGGGGTGACAGGAGTCTTCCCAAATTGAAGCTTGAAATCCTACCAGTTATGTCTTTAGGATTAAACAATCTGTCTCCAAGAGTCAACTGTTTCTTCATTCTCCATCCTTTATCTTTTCTTCCTTTTTTTTTTTAATATTTATTTATTTGAGAGAGAGAGAGAGAGAGAGGGAGGTGTGGGGAGAAGGAGAGAGAGAATTTTGAACAGACTCTGTGCTGAGTGCAGCCTAACACAGGGCTCAATCCCACGACCCTGAGATCATGACCTGAGCTGAAATCAAGAGTCAGATGCTTAACCAACTGGGTCACCCAGGCACACCTATCTTTTGTTCTTTATCCTTACTCTTTCCCTCTTCTTCTAAAGATTTTCCTCTAGATTATAAAACAACACATACCTGTAACGAAAATACATAAAATTTAGGAAAGTAAAAGAAAGAAAGAAAGATGATCTATAATTCCACCTCCCTATGACATTTTCCTATGAGTATGCCTGTGCATACACACATGTACGTACATAGAGATAGGTACGTGTAAATATATCATCTTTTACAGAACAAGGCCTTAAAAATACATACTGCTTTACAGCCTGATTTTTCAGTTACTCTATTGTGGAACTTATCCATTTAGTCATTCAACAACTAGACTGAGTGCCTATCATTTTCCAGACGTTGTGCTGGGCTCAGGAATAGAGTGGAGAACTTGTGTAATCTCTGCTTTCATATAGTCTAGCTGGGAAGAAACTTACCAAATAATATTTTCCTATAACAACCAATATAGATGGAGATCATTATTTTCTTTTTCAGTGCAGATTCTTATTTTTTTCTTAAGTAGGCTCCATGCCTGGGGCTCCTGGGTGGCTTAGTGGGTTGAGCGTCTGCTCAGGTCATGATCTCAGGGTTGTGAGAATGAGCTCCGCATCAGGCTCCCTGTGTGTTCAGTGGGGAGTCTGCTCTCTCTCTCCAAAAATAAATAAATAATCTTAAAAAAAAGGCTCCGTGGCTAATATGGGGATTGGAATCACAACCCTGAGATCGAGAGTTAAATGCTCTACCGACTGAGCTAGCCATGTGCCCCTCAAATTCTTATTTTTACTTAAAAAAACCCACAAAGGTATACATTGGGAATTAAGCAACATTTTTCCTTCTTTCTAGAGGTGTGACATATGTGTTTTCTGGTCACTAATATTCTACCAAAAGTTTTATTAAACCTAAGGCAGGTAGAGGATCATTCAATCTCTTTGGTATCCCCTTCTATTCAGGCTGAGTTAGACCAGTGAAC